TATATATATACCTTACAGCTGTAGGTCCCCAAAGCTTAATTTCTGTTTTGATATTTCTCAAAAACTTCCAGAAAACCAAATACCTGCATTTGAGCAGCATAAATTTAAATAATTGAATGCCAAGCAAAACAAATGCGAAAACAATAATCGAAAATAATTTATTAGCTTTATAATTGTATTCGTGTTATGTTTATCAGTTAAACAACATTTTACGCTCGATAGTGTAGTGCAGCTCATTTGAATATATGGTTTATGTTCTTGATAATTAAAAACTAGATAGCGGATTAAATTTGCTGAATTAAGCGATTACAAGCCTGTTCTTATACGTTGCGCTCCTCTAGAAAACATGGGCTCAGGGTATAATGATTAATGTTCAACGTATGTAACAGACAGATGAATATTAATATTGTTTTTATTATAATTATTATTATGTGAATTCTGAGCAGACAATATTATTTGAAGACTAAGCGAATGGTGGTGTAAATATACATTGAATGAAAGATTAATTTAATTCAATTAATTCACAAAAACTACACTCAAATTTCTTATCAGCGCCAACAAGCAGAGAGCCTTGACTGAACCGATTCAATGTTTTATATGTTTGGAGGGACCGCCTTGAGGCTTGAATTTGAAAGTCATATTTATGTTCTTAGAATTATATATAGATCTGATAACCCAATAATATTTATATACATAATATATAAGTCTATGTATACCCCAACAAGCTGGGTATTCTCTAGTCAATCATGATCGGTAAGAACATTTTTATTTGTTTGGCAAGTCGGAACTCAGGTTAGATTCAAGATTCGTGGGCTTCATGAACCTTGATCATATTGCGGTGAAATCAACTCTAAAACCTTTTATGGCCTCTGTTATCAAACCAAAAGTCCAGTTAGTGATATAACTCTTATCACGTACGCCAACTATCAGGGTTTTAGCATATAAATGGGAAGTAGCCTTTTGCATATTTTTCATTTATGAAACAAGTTACAAATTTGAATATATGTTTGTTTGCTCAAAATAACGGAAGGGCTTTGCCTACGCAAACAAACTGTTCCTATGATCAAAAATTACAGGAAAAACCGGTGAATCGGCTTAGACGTAACAAAAATATGAAATCATTAAAGATCACTTATACAAATATCATATATGTGTGAGTTTTTACTAAAGCATTATTATAATTCTCTTCTGTCAAACATTTAGAGCTTAAATAAAGAAAAGTACCGAAACTAAGTATATTTGCAATTCAAGCTGGCAAAATAAAAAAAAAAAAACATTAAAGATCGTAAAATATATATAGACAGTCCATAACCGGTTTGAGAGAAACCCAGATATTCAATATCCATTTGCCCAAACAGATTCGCACACTTTCCTCCGCCGCACAATTCAATTTGATGAGCTCGAATCTGTTCGCGGCAGTTAATTCCATCATAATTTAGGCGCTTAGCTGTTTTGTCTACTTTACTGATTTTCGTCTGTATGTAACTATGCTAATTGATATCGTCGTCTAGCGCAGCTAGATCATCCATCGTTTAGTGTTATAAAAGGCGAGACGCTCGACACAAAGCATTAAGTTTGTTGGCTGATTTCGAACAGTTCGGACAAGCAGCAACATGAGGATATTCGTTGTGCTTAGTATTATTCTGGCCGTGGTGGCAGCTGCACCACAGCGCCAAGGAAGCGGTGCTAGTGCCAGTGCCGACGCCAGCGCCCAGTCGCAGGGCGGGCCAGGCTTTGGCAAAGGTCCAGGCGGCTTCGGTGGACCAGGTGGTCCCGGTGGTTTCGGTGGTCCCGGTGGTTTCGGTGGACCTGGTGGCTTTGGCGGCCGTCCAGGCGGTCCAGGCGGTCCAGGCGGTCCAGGCGGCTTCGGTGGTCCAGGTGGTTTCGGTGGTCCCGGCGGTGCCGGCCGTCCTGGCGGTTTCGGAGGTCCAGGCGGTCCAGGCCGTCCAGGCGGCTTCGGTGGTGGTTTTGGAGGTCCTGGTGGCGGTAGCTCCAGTGCGAATGCCAATGCTGATGCAAGTGCCACATCCACTGGCGGTGGTGGTCGCTTCGGTGGTGCCGGTGGTGCCAGTGCCAGTGCCACCTCTTCGGCCAATGCCAATTCCAGCGGTCGTTTCGGCGGCAATGCCAATGCTTCCTCCTCCTCCAACGCCTCGGCCAARGGCGGTGGTCTCGCCAATGCCTCATCCAGCTCCTCTGCCAGTGCCCGCGGTTGAGCTTCAACGAAAGGACATCTTCAGAGCCGTGCCGAATTGAACAGATTTTTAAAGTGATTTAGCTTATTTATATTTATAAAATAAATATACATGACAAAAAGAAATTGCTTTTATCCTTATTTCGAGCCCAAGAACAGAATGATTCCATTCGATTCTCGGGTTATTTTATTGTTATTTAATTTGTTATTTTTTTAATATGATTAGCAATATGATGTGAATTTTGTTTGCATCAAGCTTTCATTCTATATAATGTGTTTATATTTTGAGACGTAAAGAAAAGATGACTTCATTCCTTTTTAGAGATATCTCCAATGTTATCTCAACCTTTGCCAGAAGCATCGCTTTGTATACTGATCTAAGATGCACTGCGCCACATGTCACAAAATTTACAAATTGCTATGATTTATGCACAAATGCTCAGAGAATTTTGGTTTTTCCCCAGACACATCAAATAAAAATTCAAAAAAAAAAAAAAGAACTCATAAAAATCAAAATTTTCGTAGCTTTAAAATTGTTTGCAAATAATTTCGTCACTGCCCAATAGAAAATAAGAAAAGTGTGCAAATTGTTTTAGCCCAAGATATGGAATAAGTCTTGTGTGCTTTAGAGAGAAAGAAAAGGGTGCGATGAATAATTTGATTGTAATCAGCGTTTTTTTGACCTTGCTCCTGTTCGTTTACTGGCAAGGATGTAATGCCGATGAGACTGCCATTGTGAACACTTTCAGTGGTAATGAGACAGCACTGCTTCTGGACGAGCATATCGCTGAGCACAGGAAATTCGTGGAGCCGCGGAAACAAGAAACAACTAAAAAGAAGAAGAAAGAAAAGAAGAAGAAGAAGAAGAAAAGGAGGAATGTTGCAAGTGCATTGAGCAATGTTTTTGCCCAATGCTTTCAAGGGCCACCGACTCATTTCGCTGGATCAATTTTAATGGTGCTCTCTGTATCGACAGCTCGGTTGCTCGTCCAATGATGGTGCTGTTAAATAATGCAATTTATATTTGAAATGCGTATGCTTGTGATCAATTAAATTACATTAAAATTTGAAAAAACAATTTGTCTGTTTTTTTTTTTTTTTTATTTATTTTTTTTTTTTTTTTTTTTTTTTTTTTTTTTTTTTTTTTTTTATATTTATGTTATATAATTATGTTACCCTACTATATGCCAAATTTGCTGACATTGTGCAAATGATGTCCCGAGATCTCATCAAAATCTCATTGGCATACAGATATCAATCCATTCATCCGTTCTACAAACTTTGTTCGAAAGTCCGAATCAAATAACCCTTGTGATGTAATTCACATCACGTTTACATCAGGGAAAAATGTTTCAGAGTTTAAGCATCATCTGTTCAGTTATGAAACACCTAAAAATTCAACAAAATTTTAAGTTTCCATAGAATATATTTATTTGTTAACATTTTAATATAACATATATATTATATGTATACGTATTTATACACGCAAATTTAACACTTTTGTAAAGTTTTACCATGCGACTGTGTATTGTGATCGCCTTCTTCTTGGTTGTGTTCGCTGTCATATATTTTCAAAATCGTATGGATAATGAGGGAGGCAGCTCCTCGACCGTTCAAAAAGGTGGCTCCAGCAATCAGGCTAACAGCAATCAGGCCAAGAGCAACCAGGCCAAGAGCAACCAGGCCAAGAGTAACCAGGCCAAAAGCAAGCAGGCCAAAAGCAACGAGGACAAAGGCAAGCAGGCCAAAAGCAACCAAAGGGCAGATGAACGCAAAAAGCCAGCAAAACAGGCGAAGCAGCCACCACCACCAGCTAAAAAGTCAGCGAAACCAGCTAACTCACCACAAAAGCAAACAAAAGACACCAGGGCAAGACAAGCAAAACAAGCAAGAACCCAAAGACCACCAACGGATAGGAGAAACAGGAACAGATAAAATGGCAGTGCAATGATCGAAATCGTTGGCTCAATTTTCAAGAGCCCTAAGTTTCTACAAACTGGATTGACCTTAATTCAACTGACTGATTCCTGTCGAAGGCTCCTTTAATTCTGGCGGATATCTATGCTCGATTCTTCAAACTGGCTGACAAACAAAGCATTTCCAAACCGAAGGCGGTACGGCAACACAAACAAGAAGACTTTTAGCATTTTAGCTTTTTAAACTACACATATGTTTTATACTATTTATCGGCAATATATTTCATGACTATTCATTTTTTGACATAGATGTGCATTTGAACATCTTTTGGAGAATTATATACGTTAATATGAATGCAATGCAAAATGACGTAAGACATCTGCTAATTTGGAATATAAAATGGTTGTTATCCTCATGATAAATATATTTATGTATATTCATGTGGTTATGTTAGGGTCTCGTAAATTTAATAATCTTTATATTCACCAAGCCAATTTTTTAGACATGACAGAACAACCAATAATCTATATTTAACTGTTCTTGGACCGTGGACGAGTATTCTGCAGTCGTTCGTACTCGATCGATATATATATATATATATATATGTTAACTTTTGAGATATTTTTGAAACAAGTTTATTTTATTATATTGATGCTAATGCACAGAGCCGCAAACGATTTAATTAGATATGCAGCAGACAAAAACAAAATACACTTTGAAGAATAAGTAGTAAGATGTAAGAACTGAAGAAGTAATATAGAGTTTTGCCTTTTCCTAACGGACATCAGTTAACTAAATGAGATTTCGATGTAAAGGATACCAACTGGCTTTATATTGTATAAATTTCGACGTATTTTGATCTAGTTCTATACATTTTAGACGTTTTTCTCTTAGAATTTGTATATTATTTTTAAATCCAACTGTCGACAAAGAAATGAGAGTTAATAACATTGTTTATTGACATGTTGAACGCGCCCATTGTTTATAAATATTATGTTCTCACTAATGATGCAAATTGCTTAAGCAAATCTAATCGACAAAACGGGTTCTGCCTACGGCAGCTGATCTGCAGAAATGCAAATCTGTTTTTGGCTACCTCGCAGTTTATTATACTCTCTAATATTCTAAATGAGAAGGGTATATTGGCTCTGCTACACTTTTTCGGATTGAAATAAGCAGAGGATAATAAGCAGATATGTGGATTAAGTATATACAAACAACAGACTAATTGTAAAATGCATTCTTCTATTGCTAAAGATCTTACAGTCGTGTACTCCCGATTCCAGCGACTGATTGCAAAAAATTGTCAAGCGACTGACTGACTTGCCATACTTTCAGAATAAACGAAATATTTTGAGTTAACGCAATTGTCTCGTCAAAGTTTGAGGTCTTAGAAGTTTAAGGTACAAAATAATTGAAATCCTCCAAAAAACACAGTCTTACGGTCTATTAGAGATAATTGCGTCAGTCAAAATGGAACAGGATTTCAATGAGCTGAAATTATGTCAATTATATGTAAATTTCTGTACTTTCTCAATAAGATGAGATACAAATATCATTATATAATTTGGGTTAGATTTTTCTATGACGTTTTTAAGCAATTAAGTATTTGACATATCTATTTAATGAAAGTCCTTGAGTATATATAAAGAAAATACCTTGACTTATTTGACTATTCTAATATCAGAAATTAGAGCTTAAAGCATATTCTAGAACGAGATTCATTTTTTATTGAATTATACAAATTTCTGCTCATTAACAAGATTTATTTGTCAATATAAATAGATACGAATCAATATATATTTATAAT